CATGGCCTTTTAGCACCGGTGGTTTTTTCGTTTCCATGCACCCTTCTTCGCAGAAGACAGGTGGATAGGCGAGCGTGCGAGTGTGTCCTTACGCCTAAAATAGTATCGTTTATATACACGAAGTTTTCTCCATCGATTCTGTCGACGATGACCTCTTTACTGAAAGCTATATAGGCATCGATAACAAATAACATCAGTGAGCTTTTGTGTTAAAACCGTAAGATTCTACAACAGATTTTTCTATTTAACTTCAAGCATATATACAATTTCAAAGTATCCTTTGTTTTAATTCCATTAGAAGACCATGGCTCGTATTGATTAACTGCAGTAATTGCCTTTTAGCAATTTTCTTTATTGAAGATCAACAAAGTGTATTGGTTTTATTAATTTACTGATCAATTCATTTGCCAGCGGCGACGATCACTTACCATCAGGCGATCCGTTTGTTTATTCGTCAAAATAACCAAAATAATCGAAAGTAAAGAATAGTCCTACCGAGTAACAGAAAAATATCTAATACCGTCCCAAAACAGTTGTATTTAGACAAAAACAGCGTAAAGTTATCCACTAGATGGCGCAGTCAAATCACTTCTCGATTAAACATATCGAAGGCACGTCTCGACGTTCCTTCTTACATTGTTTCCGAATCGAACTTACACCAACGCCATCCGATTGATACATTAAGCCGACCGCAACAAAGTAGCGCGTCGCACGTAGAACGCGACGTGACACGCCGAACGATGAATCTGTATCGATTATATCGAGCACACCCATGAATATACAAAATATTAACAAAAACATTGTGCTATGAACACAGTTTTTTTATTTATGTGAAAAGGTGCCAAGCGAGCAGGCGGTGCACCTGAATTGAATGAATGAAAGTTAAGTGAATACCGCCGCCCATGGACATCCGCTACACCCGAGGGTTACAGATTCGTTGACAGCCTTTTGAAGATTTGGCTTCGGCTACCTCACTCACCAGACGAAACGTGAAAGTATTTGTGATACTTCCACTTTACGCCGGTCTTCTGTGATGTAGTGTTACCCGGACGAGCCGGCCCATTCGTGCAACAGAGGCTGCAGCGAGGCCCTACCACAGTTTAAGTTGTTTTTGTTGTCTATATTTATTGACAAAAAAAGTATGTTTAAGTATGTCTATCAGTACCTAATATCCATAGTACAAGCATTATACATTTGCTTAGTATGGGACTAGATAACGTTATGCAAATATGGCCTGGATTATTTATATCTCAAAAACGCAACTCAACGCGGAAACGCTAATCGGACCGCGCATTCGAACGTTTCCACCGGCACGCCGGACGCGATTACAACTCTCTAATTCCCCGTCGACATTTCGACGAATATATTAAACGACTGCGTTCAGACAGCCGCGTCGCGTTGCGTCATACGTCCACGCTATCGGTGAAATAAATAGGTTTAAAAAAGCACACCGCTATAAAAAATCGGTGACCGGTCATCGATACACTGACAAAATTATGTACACGCTTCGGCGGCATTACGAAAGGCATCCATTACGCGGGGCTTATCTAACTTGGGGAGCGTAGACGAAATCGCTGTTATTTACTCTGGGCCGTCGTCGACACGCGAATGTAGGCCCAATTCCGTACGCTCCACGGTTCATTTTCGAATATTGCTAAGACGGAAAGTTATATAACACATTCGATATCGCGTTACGGGGTAAACGATCCGACCTTCGCACGCTCCGTCGGTCTTTCCCGCAACACGGCCACAGTCTACGAAACGAGGCCCTCCACTCTGACGGTGCGGCGGCAAGGCTTGTTTTGGCAAAGGGCAATAGAGCAATAAAATTCCCTATACACGAACGCTCCGGTTGCGTAACAAACATTTTACATGTTTCACGTTTCCCACTCGGCGAGGCGAGACGCGTTCCGGGTGCCTCAGCGGCTCAGTCGCCCCGGGGCGTCCGATTGTGATGCTAAGCGCGTTCGTGGCAACATTTCAACACCTGGTCTAGAACGCCGGAAGACAATGTTCGACGTGTAGAAATTCAACTGACGAAAGCACACAATGTAATCTTCTAATGTTCGTATCCTTAGCCATCCCTTCTACAATCTTCAACCGACTTCAAAAAACAAGGAGGTTTCTCAATTCTGGTGTATGTTTAGTAACAAAGAACTCCGTCGTTTATAAGTCGATTTAAAAAAATATTTTTGCATTGGATTCGGTTTAGCTCCCATGTAGGTCTCATTTTAATTTAATTGGCAGTGAGCCTTATAGACCCCTGAGATACAGCATAGATATCCTCAAAACCGAATAGAAAAAGTACATTGAAATGTTTAAAGGCGGCTTTCTTTTTGTTAATAAAAATGTACCTATTTGCTGTGGAGTAAATAAGATTTGAAAAGGCGTCGGCAGACTGTAAATGTACAAGTAGTATCTGTTATCACTTTCCAGACTAGACCTTCCAAGCCAGGATGTACAGTCAGCTTCTATTCTTGTGGCATCCACGATCAGCAGGCAAGCCAGGTTTTATTAGTCACTCGTCTTTCGAATAGTTTGCGAGATCACGATTTCCATCGAATTTATTTTGGGCTCCGAAAGCAGTAAACCACAATAACTGTGTTTTGGAAATAGATAGCCTTGTTTAAATATGATCTTAGCTAATAATATAAACGATGCAAACAATATATTATAGGAGAGCAACAATAGCATTACAAGTCTTTACGCGTACCTGCGCGTGAGCCCAGCCCAAACTAATTAGTACCACGACCTCTCAGAAGAACGAAGTGGAGTAAAACATCTTGTTTATTGGTGTCGTGAGTATCTATGGGCGATGGTCCTCACCTACCACCAGATAAGAGGGCATCCTTTTATTTTTAAAATATAAAACAAAGACATCTGACCAGTGGCAGTGTCTTCCACGCAGCAGTCTTCGCTGTTGCACGAATGGTCAGGTCCGTCCGGCTAAGTACCACCACCTCACAGAAGACTAGCATGAGAATTATACTTCTGCGTTACGTCAGGTGAGTGAGGTAGCCAGGGCCCACTTTATTAAAGGCAACGCATCTGCAATCCTACAGTTAATGCACATGTCCATGGGCGGCGGTTGTCACTAAACATCAGGTGAACCGCCAGCTGGCGGTTCATGCATGGCGTTCAGCATGGCTGGCTCATAAAAAGACAGCACAGAGGTTTATATAATATATATATATGAGGAGGTGGCAAGCGAGCTGGCGGTTCACCTGATGTTTAGTGACAACCGCCGCCCATGGACATACATATATATATATATATATATATAAAGTAAAGTAACAGCTTATACATGTCCCACTGCTGGGCAAAAGCCTCCTCTATACCGAGAAATATTTTTTTTTACTATTTCGGAAATATGCAGGTTTCCTCAAGATGTTTTCCTTCACCGCGGAGCACGTGATAAGTCAGCACTTAAAGCTATAAACTTCATTGGTGCCGGCACCGGGGATCGAACTCAGGTTGCTCGAGTATATTAAATTAAAGGCGAGCGCCCGGACACTGAGCTATCACGGCTCTGTATATATACATACGCGTACAGATTTCAAAAGGCGACATGAGAAAGTCAAAGTAGCCTTATTAGTCCCCGATATCCGCACGAACGCCCGGGGGGCAGTTAATTGCGCCACCGAAAGCCGATTCACGAGGCTGACTCACGAGTATGAAAGTCGAATGCGAATGAACAAAAACGACACTTTCGCAATCCGTTCGTCGTAAGGTGACGTCAGTAGAAAGGTTTACGCAGATATAACTAGAAGGGGCCACGTGCGAAGTCATAATCGATTAAAAATCGAATGATGTGTAGATCCGAAAATATTTACTGTCAACTGAAGATACAAATTCATAGATAGGTTCAGTTTTACGTAACTTATTTTTTTTAATAAATTTATATTTTTAGTGCTAGTCTCTGCACTCAAGATGAAACTTTAAATTGTAAATTTTTAAAGATTTAAAGATCTTTCAGTTTAGCATAGGTGGGTTCGAATCCCGCAGCGACGAAAGTTTTTGTCCGTATATCTACAAAAATTTACAATCTAAAATTTTATTCTTGTTTAAAATTGACATAGAAAAAAGCTAGTTTCCTTCTAGTAAGAAACCAAATTTAACTTGTCATAAATAAGGATTCTAAATGTTACATCACAAATATTTTAAGAGTTCTTTGTAAAAAAAAATAAAAAAAAAAACAAAATTAAATTCCGGTTTAGAGTCAAATTTTATAGTTGTAACAGCGATTGCTTCTAAGAATTGAACGAAACGACATTTATCAAACAGAATAAATACGAAGCACAACTACAACCTTTAACGACACGCGGAAGTGCTCTATTGTGTGAGAAATATAATTTACATTGAATCAAATTCGAAGTCGAGGCAAATCGTGACATGATAGTGGGCTTGTTTATAAAATAGTTTTTTAGTTAAGGAAAACCCCAAAAGTCTAAACCGTTTTAAAAACGTGTTATTGAAGTGACCACAATTCTTTAATTTCTGTTTTAAGTGTATTTATATTATAAGGGGCCTCGTCGGAAAGTGTCGCATGAAAAATTTAAAATATCCTTCAAATTATTTCATATATCATATAGGACATGACGTTACCACTTAAACTTTACAAGAAATATGGAAATCTGTGTTAAATGATTAAAAGAAACAGATATTATCGGATTTACTTTAACTATCTAGTTCTTTTGCTAATACATTACCAGTATACATGTGATGTGGCAAGTTTTAATTAAGAACGAAACGCTGAATATACAGCGTTAAACGAGAAGACATCCATAACAAGATATCAATATGTGCTAAAAGTTCGTACCATCCACGCAGTGAAGGCTAAACCGTTTCGAACGAAATTCGATTGGAAGAGCTAACTGTTGTATCGTAAAATTTATTAATTACGCTCATAACCGAAACTCGTCAATGACGGCGAGTTAAGGTCGACGGTGGACATAATCCGGTATCGAGTACAGTCAGAGCGAACGAGAGTCACGTGCGGAATGTATATCGCCATCGGGCCGTGGCCGCTCGACGTCACGTGCACTCGATTAATAGTCAGGAGTCAGGGTAAGCGACACGTCTATTTCTGTACGAGGCTGGAGCCCTCGCCTCCCATCGTGGCCCGCGATTTAACGGTCACGAGTGTCTCCCTGAGTAAGGACGCCGCTTTTGTGGTGCGTAGAATAAACGGGAGATCCATTTCAACTTTCTCCTGTGGACATCTCCAGCCATCTATAGTGCACTTCCTAGTCATTTCGTTTTTATAAATAATATCCCAAGTATCCCATAAATCGATCACTTTGATTGTGCGCTGTCGAACGTGGAGTGGGGTTTTTACAACGGAAACATACGAGTTAGAAAATGGAGCGCTCCTCGCAAAAGGGAAAGCCACCGTATCCACATCGTTCGTCGCAATCGCGTCGAATTAATCATCGAGTACAGTTGCCGACATAATGACTGGGGGCGGGCGAAACAATGAGCTGACAGCGAAACGCGCGGAACGCTTTCTAGATTTCGTCGCGGCGCGTTACGATGTTATCGCCGCGCATAGGAGAGTGTCGGTCGCGGTGTCGACGCCACAGCTGCGTTGGCGGCTGGCCTGTGGGCTCGGCTTATCGCAAGCGAACCGAGCCGGGAGGTTTATTAGCGGACGGCGAACGGCCACCGAAACAGAATCAATCGCGTCGCGAGAGTAGACTGCAACTTTCCCACAGCTCTCGTATCGACGGGTGCGACCGGTGTCGCGTACGGGCGTCGGCGCGGGAATATGTCACGAGCGAAAGCGTTCCGATACATCTAATAAATCTCTTTGAACGAAATTTATTATTTATGTACTTACCAGTATTTGTACATGTACAGTAACAAATTCGTGAGCTGTTCTCAATCCGTCGAATGTATTACATCTAACCGAGACCATACCGTAACTGTTAATTTATCATTGCAGTTAGACTGGCAATTAGGCGCTTACTATGCGGGCCGCTTCATGCTCTGACTGGAGCCACACCGCTAAGTGCAAGAACATCGTGAAACGGAATAGCATCTGGCTTTCTCTCCGTTCGCTGCGACTCTATCGGCCTCGTGCCCATAGAAACCGCTCGGTGAAAATTATGAAAACGCCGCGACGCGGACACGCGGAAAACGACATGATTGAAACGTAGATTTACTTATGCACATACATGAAGATATATGTCGTGCAGAAACGAAATTAAAGTAATAAATAATTATGTTAGTTCCCAACCATGTCGCTAAACAAAGGGGCTAATCGAGTCACCTAATTCATACATATTTATAAAGTTATTTAAAAAACACATTGATATATATATACATATATTTCAATTATCTCATAAGACAAAATTATATATGGTTGTCGGGTTGTTTGGATAACATTTTATTTGTAATTTTGTACGTTTTATATCCATGATAGATTCTTATTATCTCCTTGTTTATATTCATTATCTTGGTTATTTCTGCTTCCTCAGTATGTTATGATGCCTGGACGAGTACACTTCATATTTTAAAATCACTGAACAAAGACTACTATCTAAACGATGAAGAAATCTTTATGTCGTAACAATTGCCAACTCTAATTAAAGTTCATATTTATATATGCAAGGAGCATTAACAATCAGTTAAATAATATCGTAGCGTTCTTTAGATGCCGAGAAAACATTTTCTGTAAATCTTGTAGGAAAGAAAAAAATGGGATAGGAAAGTTTTACGATCGAGTATTTTACATAGGAATGTTTTATTTAAGTATATCAGAAGGCCCATTTTAAATGAAATCTAATTTTACGACGGATATAAAAACGCAATAAAAGTTCACGATGCTTCTAAATATTCCCTGTGTAATGAATCAAAATGAAATGGGACCAAACATTAGCATAATGATCACAGAGAGTTATTTTTTAATATTCACTGGGAAAAAAATCTTGCATCATACGAGGTAGAGATGAACAATAGATGCATAATCGGCGCATCTATTCGGGAGGATTTTTTCGCTAGCTTGGTCTATTTATCTTCCGATAATGGATTGGCCATGTTGACCAAGTCCAAACTGGCGTATTTATTACATTCATACAAAACATATTATAACCATGTGTGACATAAAGCAACTTGTGTTATTGACAAGAGCCGTTTGATGGCTTCAACTGTTCAAATAAGAATAACAAAAGTGTTTAATGAAAAATTGAACAGGTTTATTTTTCTCGGGTTGACGCACTCATATAATCACAATCTGTTAAGCATGTCGTAAAAGGCTAGACTTGGAATACTAAGATATTTTTTATTGTCTTCATTTATGTTTTCCGGGCGCATTTTTTAAAGCAAGCCAACATTCTTCTTTTAGCCAAGCAACATTCTTAGGAATAGATTAAAAATAAATAAAAAGTGCTAGGCTTAGAAATCTTAGGAATGATGATGTTTAAATACATACAATACACAGAGCATAAGACTGACCATTGTCGGTTGGGAAAAAAGGTAGAAAACGGAACGAATCGTACCAGTCGAACTGGATCGATCCCGTGGTATTCATAACAAAGTGGCGAGTAATATTTTATAATCGGCCATACAATACGGGCGATGAATCGTTAGCGGGCAGTGCTTCGGGCGAAACCGGACCAGTCCGCGCGTCCATCAATAATTCTTCATTAATGACTAATAACACTGAATACTTCATTAGATGACTTAACGAAACCATTAATAGTGCACCACGGGAACGGAGAGGCGTCCACGAACAATGCAAATCGCGAAGCAATGGTGCATCGCCATCTAAAAGAGAATAGCCCCCCTCGTGCGGTGGAACGCGATCGGAAAGTCAACATTCGTGTGGCGCTATCATACTTGAAGACCGGGGCTGAAGCCTTTAAAAATGGTAAAAAGTGAAAAGAAAAATAATAGTAGGGTGAAACGCATTGGAAAAGGAAGAGAATATAACAGAAATGAAAGGAAAAATAATTTACGGGCGATATGAGATCCGAAGGGCCTGGTCTATTGCGACGTTGCGGGTTTGAGAGTGCAGCTTCGTCGGTCGCACGCGTCCAAAGGCGGCCGGCGTGACGTGCGAATATGCGCCCGATGCGTATCAGACGATAACTGCGACCCACCGTCGGATAAGTGTAACAACAAACACAATAGTCCTCGCCTCCAAGCACGGCGAGACCAACACAACGCGTACACAAGGTACACCTACGTTCCAGGGCGGTTCTCACCACCCCCAAACACCGATTACCTAAAAACACAGTCGACGGCCATCGGGGTCCCGGTCCGAACCGCAAACTGGATGACCTTTAGATGACACACCTTAGTTAAACGTACGCATAAACACATGCGCGGCCCTACCACAGCGGAGTGTGACGGATGTGTGATAATAACCCAAACCCGTGGGTTCTGGCTAGCCCGCCGGTTCATCGTCAGATGAAGCTTTAATAGTCTCGGGACTGAAACCAAAAACATCAGTTAATACAAGATATGCGATAACTGCGCGTCGCGCGTCTCCTTTTGACCGTTCGTCATATTAATTTGCACGATCACCGCGGCGGTGCGTCGACCGAGGCTGCGCTCGGGACGTTCCAAATTAGAATATTGCACCGACCGCCGTTTGCCCTTTGAGCGGGCGTCATTGAGAGAATTCGGCTTTCGGCTGCGACAAATTGAGATCGCCGAGGATATTGTTCGGCGGCGGGGACACTTGGCGCCCAAACAACGCTCTCTCATCTCATCTCAACGTTGCGGCAGTAGCTACTCGAATCCCGAAGGTGACCCGCCTCGAATAGCTGCCGCGCTCCTGACTTATGCCCTGTTCCTATATACAACGAACGGCCGTTTGTTACATAGCTTCGTGACTTTCATAACGACTTGTAGATAAAAGGCGTGTAGGTACGCTCGGTTCCTATATTAACAAAACGAGGCGTTTTTCCTTACGAGCCGTTGCATTACCTACGGAAAGTGAGTTACTAGCGTTCCTTCGATCGAGCGTTGTTTGGGCGTCAAATGTACCGATGAAGGTATAGTTATATCCCCTCGAACCGATCTGGCCGGCTCGTATAATATTAATGCGCGGCCGGGGCGTTACATGGCGTGATGCGAGTGCCCTGGCGAGTGAAAGCCGGGCGAAACCTGGCGGCGGAGGCGAGCCCGCTTTCTACCCCACCCCCGTCTCACGGAAGGGAACTTACCCCTGCCGCTATTAGCATCTCTCTTTGATTGTATAAAAATCAGAATATACTATATAAATAAAATGATAAAAGTGTACCGTTGTACGAGCATCACGGAAAAACCGCTGGATTTCACATATTTCTTCTAAGTTTTATTTCATAGACACTTGGACCTTGTCTGAATTAATAAAAAATATTATGACACCTTGATTGAATGTAAAGTTATAGCGCTACGTATTCAGTGATTTGTTTTCTTACCGTGCTAGATAAAATACGCTGTCAATACAATTAGCAACGCACGAAGTCGCGAGTATCAGCCAGTTTTTATTATACAATACAAACATCGAAAAAAATATACCGATCGAATTGATAACCTTCTCCCTTTGAAGTCGGTTACAAATCAGAAAGGCTACTGATCGGGCGTAAACGGAGCACATTATAACGCTCGGCAGCAGCGTACGGATATTAAGATCAGAGAGAAATTACTTTTCTCTTCTAATGTAATATGGAATCGCTACATAGTATAAAACAAAGTCGTCCCGTTGTCTGTCTGTCCCTTTGTATGCTTGGATCTTTAAAACTCCACAAAGGATCTTGATGCGGTTTATTTTACAAGTTAGAGAGATTCAAGTGGAAGGTTTATATGTATAATACATTGCGACCGCGCGAAGCCGGGGCGGGTCGCCAGCGATAGAATAAAATCGTACGCCTGTACGTGCTCAGGTTGAACGGAGCGAGCGTGACGACCTTGACACGCAAAAATTCTACCGGATGGACGATTTGTACGGGCTTTAATGTGAATCGAAACGTTCGATAGTCTCGGGGCGACCTATCGCGGGCAGGCGCGCCGTCAAGAACCTTTACGATTGCCATTTTCCTTTTAGTTTGTCTATATGCAGGCGAAATGTCGAAATGATAAGATAAAGTGGCGCCTATTGATTTCGAAAATGTATGTTTATATTAATATGACGGCGCATTCGTCGTCGTTGATGGTCAATTAGTGTAGCGCTTTATGCTCGGAGCGTTTTACGACCAGCTCCATTAACCAATGCTAGACTTTTGATTTATGTACTTTCGCGTACGGCGACGGCCGATGAAATAACGCCGTAAGAGTTCGCAATAGCGAAGACATAGTAGTTTTAAATTCTTATGTAATTGTAATAGATGAGAGGTGATTCATACTTTCGGTAATTCGTTTCCTAGAAATTCATTCCGTGTCGTAACGGAAATTTAAAGAATGTTCGTCAACAATCTATAATTTTTGTGCGACTGTTCGACCATAATTTTAGTATTAAAGAAGTTTAATTAAAGAAGTTCTGCACATATTAATAAGCTGATTTTTTAATAAGCACCACACACAGCCCAGTAACGATGACATGTAAGATCAGATAGGCAGGTCAGTAAATTGCTACGTATAGTTCATGAAAAAAGAAAATCGCATTTCTAAAATACACATAATTGTTACGGAAAGGAGCAACGTTGTATTTTTATTTCTTGTATGTCGAGTTTTCTTCGTCTTATATATGTCTTTTTAGCTTTCGCGACCTTCGGTTTTCTACTATGTCTGTCTGTCTGTACACAGTAGCGCAATATCGTCGCGGCGCTATTTACATTGTCGTGGAGGTGTTCGGTGCCCGGCCGCGTTCAAGGTCGGCCGCCACGTGCGGCGGTTATGGCGTTGCGCGCTTTGTTCCCCAGCCGTTTTCATGGTGTCGTAAAACATAGTTGTTTACCCGTTTGCGCCTTGGCTCGGATGGTCTGTGACGTCATCCGTTGCATAAACACACACGGCGTGGCCACGTTCATCGGGAGCTCTCTGTTCGGCGAGGATTGGAAACTGTCTCAGATTACGGTGTAATCGCGGTCTCACAAGTGTCGTAATAACTTTACTAACTATAATCCTGTAATGACATTACTGACGATACTCTTCTGTAAAAGAGCATAAGCAAGCGTTCGAATAATATCTATGCTTGTTTTTCTTTCTTTTTATGCTGTGTTTGTGGCCGCACGTGTGTTTTTATCGGAATCAAAGAGATAAAAAGAATCGGTTTTAATTATTGTCGTGATATTATTTCGCATATCATTTCTGCACATCACGAAAGAAGTCGTTTGCGTTTAGCCTGATGATGAAATTGAAAGCCTTGTATTGGTTTTATAAATTTTTTTATCGTTAGAAACTGACCACAGACCAATAATACGACAATCTCTTTATCTATATAACTGGTAATCGAGCTGAAGCGTTAACGTGCATTTGGAAACGCAAAGGACAAAGATTATATAGATTAGGTATATAAGATCGATCGATAGATAAGAGCCGCCGACCTTATCTCCCATCTCGAAGATAATCAATTTATTATCGCTCCATACGTGGTGTACGAAATAGACGACCGTGATATTAAGCGAGGTTTAACGTGACAAACGAAAAACATAACCACTTTTCTAATTTACTTTAGATTGATGTTTTTGCTTTCAGTTCTTAGACTAATAAAACTTCATCGAACACAATAAACAATGTTGTTATTCGCTATGAAACGGGCTGTGTTCCTTTCGCGTTTGCCTTTAATGACTTAACCAAGGGCTCCGTTGTAAGATTTCGGATACAACCCTGGTGCGGACGACACGTGCACAATTAGACGCCATATCGGGATCGACGCATCTACGCGTCCTGTCTATCCACAGCGCTCGCGCAACGCCTCTCATCTGTCGTAACGAGAGGCCGTTTTAGGATGTCGCCTTAATGTTGACAGTGAGCTCTGCGTAATGGTCTCCGAGTGACAGCGTCGACGAAAGATAACCGTGGAAACAGCTGCGATGGATTATGTAGATGTTGATCGAAGTTGGATTCAGCGTTGGCAGGACACATCTGGGACGAGTGGAGCCGAAATGTTAATTATGGTCACCATAAAAACATGGCGCCTAATGATGTAACCCCTCCCCGTCAATGAATACATTCGGACTGATTAATATATTTTATAACTTCTTTTTATACAACTTTCTCTAAGAAAAGCTTTTACTGTGGGTACTAGATAACTGATAAACATACTTAATCATACTTTTCTTTTGTAAATAAATACATACTATACATATATAAACACCTAGACACTATAAAACACTATGTTCATCACACAATATGTTTCCAGTAATGGAATCGAACCCTCTGGCGTAGTGGCAGGTACATCATCAATCATTTTATCTCTGGAACCATAAGGTGTAGAGACTTGAAATTTGGTAGGAATATTCCTTTCGCCCAGTAGAGGTCAGCTAAGAACGCATGTTACGAAATTCCACAAAACAACGTTTGCCGGATCAGCTAGTTTGTGTATAAGGCTAAAAAATATTAATTTTGCATTAGAATAAATTTATCAGTAGCGTCAGAAGAGCAAATATTAACACGGACGGCGCGACACAATGACTTACGCGTGTCATTCGCTCAACGGGCGTTCCGAGTTACACTAAAAGGCTAGAGGCAGCTGTTAAATTGCTTTCAATAATGTGGCTATTACGCTACGTGACAGCGGTCAGACGGCTTGTTCCTTTGTTTCATTTGAGGCATATATTTAACACAGATAAAATATGTATACAACTTAAATTACTTCCACGTAGAGAATAAAGTATTCATTGTTGAGTTAGATTGGTTTGCTATATAGTACCATCTCGTTTCTAATGATTTTGACTAATCAAAAACATCAATAAATACCAATAAATATGATAAACCAACCAAGAGGTTATCTTAAAGTAATAACATTAATATAAAATAATACTAAATAGCGTCATTTTAATATATTTTATCAGCAGCTAACGTTCACTAGATAAGAAAATGAAACAGAAATATTTAAAAAATCTATAGCGAACCATTTAAATAACATGAATGTTCGTAAAATCTTGCGCTAATTATATACAAAAACAAAAGCGCAAACGCATAAACGATAATATCTTGTCCTTGCTTTAAAAGGTCAAAACTGTTCAGGAGTCCTCGTCCGATATTATATGATTAGCATGTTGATAAGTCTCGATATAAACGAATATTATGAAATCTTATTTAAAAAAGTCATTAAATGGCCCACCTTATTAAAAAGTTGCAACGCATCTGCAACTCTGCGGGTGTTGCAAATGTCCATGGGCGGCGCGGCGGTTACCACTTAAAATCAGGTGAACCATCAGTTCGCTTGCCACCGTCACACACAAAAAGAATGTAGTATAGTTTAAATGTAAAATTATTATGTAAACTAACAAACCACTATAGGCTACGCAAAGAAAACGTTTACCAGTTGAAAAGAAGTCACCACCCTTAGAATGAAGTGGCCCCTTGGTTCTTACTAAATACACTAAAATAGAATAATTACATCAATATACATAAGTAAGCGGATTGGCGGACTATTGGGGCCGCGTGGTGGACTATGCCCTGATACCCTCTGTATAGAGGAGGCCTTTGCCCAGCAGTGGGACATGTATTGGCTGTTACTTTACTTACTTACTTTACTACATAAGTAAGCAACTAACATAATATTTATAGTATATATTCTTTGTTATATATTCATGTCAATAAATTACTCCCATTGCCAACAATTCCCTAAGTAAAGTTACAACCTATACATATATGTCCCAATGCTCGGTAAGGGCCTACTCTGTACAGCGGATATTAGGAAAAAGTCCACCATTCACACCACTGCCGGTTCGTACAGTCCACATATTTAGAATGTTTTTTTTTTATTATCATTTCGAAAATGTCCAGGTTTCCTCACGATGATCTCCTTCACCGCTGATTGCCTGATAAATCGGCGCTTAATATTGCTATTAATGACGACATTGGTGCCGCCACCGAGATTCGAACTCGGTTTGCTAGAGTTGTGCACTGAGCTATCACTCACGGCTCCAGTGATTCTCAAACGCATTAAATCACTAACGTGATAATGTCGAAGTCTTCAAAGTTACTTTAAACAATTGAAACGCGAACGTGACGCGTTTCACTAACGAAGTGAACAATGACGGTGATTTTAATACGAACGAAATATCGAAACGAGCTGTAGCAACAGTTCGCCGTCAAAACAAAGATAATCCTATCTAGTTATCGAGGCAAATTAGCGATCGATAGCGGTCCACCATTTGGTGCACCGAAACGCCCGTGAATGTGCACCGCCATTAAGATCGACAACGATAACGCAAACAGTCGAGGCTGCTGAGGAATGCACGATGGCCTATCTATCGTTCGAGGCACGAAATTAATCCGAATGATGTGACAGGCGAGCGGTGTCGATCAGTATTAATGTCAGAACGATATCGATATTCAGTTGCTTTTGTAATTTATGACCGAACGAATCGAATTTGAAAATAGGCTGAGAGTAGTGATGACGAAAGCTGATGTGGAATATTGTCCATAAACAAAATACCTTAAGAGCGATTTATTTCCTTTACGTTTTTCAAATGTAGGTACGATAAGTTACCTAAAACTACACCAATAATAAAATCGAAATGTCTGCGAGTGATATTGAAATTAATGCCAAAGCTTAATTAAAACTACTATACCTACATAAACTTCATCATAAAGTTTTTAAAATTACTCTCTGAACGTGTATCTTGAATAATAAGGCAATGAAAAAGCTATACAAATTATAATGAAAACTCTAGAAGTAAAGTTTTTATTTAAATTACAGGCGCGTTATAACTTGAAGAGTTTAAGGATATGAATGCAAGTACTTAAAGTAATAAATGTTACTTTTAAATCTTTGTTTGAATTCCATCATTAAATCCACAAGGTTGAAGTCACGGGCTTAATCTATTATTATGTATATAATACTACCATCTCTAATATTAAGTAACTATATAGACGTATTAAACTATTTCATTAAAATAGAAATCACCACTTGTCCTTATGAGTGATGTTAATGACTTGTAATTAAATCTCGTTATGAAAGACGACAATCATAACTAAAAGTCATTAAAAATACATAAATGTCATTATCGACAAAACATAAACGGACACCATTATTTCTAAAGTGGCTAATAGATATTTCACAAAAACATTACAACGTTTACAGAATCGAATTTCGCGCTGCTCGAATAACGATGCGATTCACCATCGGCGCTCGTTTGATCCCTCATATGACCACGAGTGAACACAGCGAGTGCGATACAGAATCGTAACGACAGTCACGCGTCTACCGCGAGAGAGACGCGAACAGGTTCGAACCCGAGGCGCCACAGCCGGCGGCGGCTCGCGACTGGCCACACGTTCCTTTTGTAAACAAACATAACACAATGGCACGCGTAACAAACGAACAGCTGTACGCCGACAATGGCCGTGCTCGTTTTCTTGTTACGTAAACGTTTCGTTTACAAAATAAGCCTATCGCGACTTCATTAAATATAGTAAGAAAACAAAAACTCTATTAGTTCTGCGGTGGGTGGAACCCTAGCACTGAAATGCGTTACACTGTTACAGAGAAATGAAACAAAAAAACATCGGGACATGGTATTTATTATACAAAAATAGTGTGCAAGCGTGTAACTCGTGCCTCACGACGTACACAAACAAAATATTAAAACTATTCAATTTTCTTCACATATATATATATTATATATATGTATGTATATGTATAAAATGCATTCGCTCTGTAAGTTAGACATAGCCTATTTTTGTTTACAATAGTAGTGTTGTGTACCGTTGGGCTTTACGACTGTACATGTATTGTGCCACGCCCCAACGCGGTCCCGAACCAGCTACGGGTCCTAAATTCACAAGGGCCTTATCGATTTCGAGGTTCGATTTACATCTCGCGCCGTGGAACACCTCGAGGGGGTTCAAACGATTCCGATTAAATAAAACTTTGACGAGTACACAACTAGTCGTATGAGAAGCGGCGCTTATCGGCGCAATAAAAAAGCTCTCCGCTCTCCGCGTGGTTTCAAATAATACAGTAAATTGGTCGTCAACGCCGGTTGCGCGACCGGTCGTTTGTGGAGCGATAGGGGGACCTTTGAAACGCGCGCGGCGCGATCTCAATAATAACGAATCAAAAGTTAAAACCCCACCCGGCGGATAAGAGACCGCAATAACTCGTGTGCCTAGTTGTTGAGGGAAAAAAAATAAAGCAAGAAACCCAATTTATCACGGCGTCCCACGCGCGCGCCGAGCGACGTAAGCGAACAGAACATAGAAATAAAAAAAGGGTAGAACTAAACCGCCCATGGAGTGTAAAACCCAACGATAGAAACGGTGTACGAATGTACAATTCACGAATAACTTAGTTAATATTCACATAATACACGTAATGGGGCTTTATCTGGCAACCCTCACATAGTTGGACCCTAGCTTGAAGAAATCATAGAACAGGAAAGCACAAAGAAAACTGAAACTCAATTCGATTCGCCGCACGTTGTCCAAATCACGATAAATAGCTGAGCGTAATCCTAAGCTCTACAATGTACACGCATACAGAATACGTACAGATTAAACACTAACAACTGACGTAGGAAAAGTGAAAGCGAAACCATTCGTTATTCCGTAACGAAAACCCGCATTTTTATGTTTTGAGAAGTAACTTTACGTAAAAAAGAATGATAACGTGATGAACGGAGAACTTTATCAATACTCGAGAATGTGTTCAAAATCCTACTTTACACACATAGCGCCGACTCAAAGCCGCAGTTAAGCTGTAGAGTGAACGACCGACTAACTAATACAAACAATGATAAAACTGTTGGAGGGAAAGCTTATCGCGGCTCTTTATCAATATTGCACCTTTTATGAAACGACAACGGCTGCAATATCGGACTAATAGGGCCTTTGTACCGGCAGCAATTACAGCGTTCATTGTTTCTCTACGACAAGGAATCGAACGAGTTTAACATTACATAATGGATAAAGTTATCGATACGACTTTATTAGGAACATGTAATTCAAAACATCACGTAAATATTTATTACAACTTTCGTAATACACTTTGTTTTATTTCGATTATATAAGAACATTCTATAGGGATACTTTCACAATAAATGTGTATATATATTTTGAGGTTAACGGAATACGATAGTTGAATTTTATAGGTAACAAAGTCCAATTTACGCGTTGCGTAAGACGAATATTTCACATTACGATTGTGCTACATCGACTAACCTTAATTAAAGAACAGTACTAATTAAAAAAAGGAGACGCTTCGCAATGAATCTCGTGACGTAGCGAGGGGCGAATTACGTATTGCGGCCGCGTGTCTCGCAACCTGGTCCACTGGTCCAGTGAGTCGCGACGGGCTCGCTTAGCGGCGCCGCTGTCGGGCTTACTGGCTTGCGGGCCAAGTGAGCCAGGTGAGCCAGCGGTCGGCGGACTCAGCCAGTGCGAAAAAGCCATTTGCGGCGCGAACCGGTGCACAGGAGGCGGCGGCCGGAACGACGCGCGCCGTGGAAAGCGAGGCAAACCGCAATAGCGAACGCTGCCTCGGCCGCGGAACCGTGTCAGTAGTGTGAAACGCTAATTGTTGGCTGCGCGAGCCAGGGGCAGCGGTGTACGCGAAACATTAACTTTTATGCACACACTAATCGCGAGAAATCGTTGAATTTGTACCGTGTACGTTTTACATGTTCAAAGCACTGGACAAAAAACTAGCGGCGAATCGTGACGTTCCATGAATAACACGCAGATAAAGCCCCAAAGGTCGGCTCCCTAAGCTATACATTTGTTAACAATAAATTAATCATAGAATCTACAGGAAACCGATTCGGAGATCTCATTTCAGCTGTGTCCGCGTTGAGACGCTCCGTGCGCGCATCGCTGTGACGATTTGAGTCCAGCTCAAATGGCGAGCGTTGGCGTGTGCCGACGCTAGCGCGTTTCATCTAATAAAAATATGATCACAAGCGCCTCAGGCAGCAACTAAGGCTAAATCACAAATACCACGCGGGCTCTTGGCGGCCGCGTTTGCCGTCGAGCAGCCTGCGTCCACATAGTCGCTGACACTAGGCACGCCCTGCTCACTGTTCACTGCACAGTCAACTCTGGAGTTGTCGGCCGCGATCGTGCAACCGTCCGCGGCACTTTCACTTTTCCCGTCGAAGAAGGAGCGCCTGTCGGCGTGCGCGGCCGGCGGCGACGTGGAGAACAGCTTGATCTCCAGGTCCCGATGGCCGTTCATCGAGGTCACTATCTCCGAGGATATCTCGAGCGCGAGCGGCGATCGGGGCTCGGGGGAGCTGGCCCGCCTCGACGGTGGGAACAGGGAGTACAGGTTGGACGACGACTGGGGCTCGGCGGCGTTCGCGTCGCGCCTGTCCGCCACTCGCGAAGACGGGTCGCTCCAGCTTCGGCGCAGCACAGTGTCCGCGCCGCGTCTGCCCAGCGGGCCCACGACTTTCATCGAGTCCTCGAGCTTGGTGGGAGCGAAATCACCGCTCGAGTTCTCGTCCAGCAGGTCCGCGATCGAGTCCGCGTCCCAGATCTGACCCACGGGATCACAGTAGCGGCACTGGCACGAGCTGACCGCTGACTCGGAGGGCGATGCCGCCTCCGCCAAGCCGAAGCGGGTCGCCTCCAGCGCCTCGCCCAGGGCCACGACGCGATACGTCTCCGGTGCCGGTTCAGAGTACTCCAACACCTTCACGTCCAGGCGATATTGCATTGTAATGTTGCGGCAATACGACTCGTCGTACACGCCATGAGAAGCCGCCGACATACTGCCCACCGCACCGTGTCCCACATCGCCTATTTCCAACGCGGCCGCCGTCATGTCGTGTGGCACAATGTTATTAGGTTTCCTGTCCTTTTTGCGTCGCTTGCGCGGTTTAATTATCCTCGGCAGCATCGTCTCGGAGTTGGTGGAGCCGGAGCTCTCGTCGCTGGCCACGCTGACCGCATCCGTGTTGTTGTTGTTGTTGCGCCCGCTCCGAGCGGAACGCGGCGGCTGCTGCTGGTTTCGCGCTCTGTTTGTTTCGTGCGCTTCGCACCTGTCTCTGGCGCCGTGGTCCACGTGTGCGCCGGGCCGGTGGTTGCGCTGCTCCGGCACCGTCGTGTACTTCCTCCGGTCGTGTCTATTGTGGATGATGAGGGGCGCGCCTTGCGCGTGCATCGCTAGCTTGGACACGGGCGTATTCCGCCCCGCCATGGAAATGAGGGGCGCGCCGAGCCACGCGTTCGGATGGGGCACGCCGTAGGGCGGATAGTATGGTGGCGGGAAGCCGGGCGCTGTGGCAGCGTACTGGGGGCGAGCGGGTTCGCGTCGCCCGAGGGCGGCGCGCTCGCCCGGGCTCATGTCGTAGCGCGCTCCGTTTAACCCATATTCGCGCGATTTCAGTTGCACTGTCACAGTAAAGCTCCGAGTCGCGTTGCCGTTTCGTAGTCGCGGACTAACATCGGAGGCGGGTGACGGATGGCGTGTGTAAGCGTACGCTCGCCGCGACAGTCGGCGTTGGACTGACTGAAGTGAATGAGCGCGGCCCGCGACGCGTTCGCCGAGTGGGAGTGCCGGCCGATCCGCGCCGCTCCGCTCCACGCGACTATCGCCCGCCTCGACCGTCGGTGCACCGCAAAGCCTCGGCGCCCTAATCGCTTTACAATTAAACCGTTGTTTACCTTTTCGTCGCTCTAAAAAAACTAACGAAACGCCGCAACGTTTCACACATTTGCCTCGTTTAACGTTTTTTTTAATACGCGATAGCACGAAAGACCACGTTCAATGTAGGTATTACGTAAAGACGGTGAATATTTCTTTTCTTTTTCCATTTGTAAACAGATATCGCACCAATTTTTACAACGTATAAGTAGCTTATTCACGTCTGCTGGTTTTTCACCGGTGATATTTCGTTTAATATTTCGACATACATCACATTAAGTTGTACATTAACATTTTAAACTGGCAATAAAACTTACCTCATTTCCCCCGGCCGCCGCAATTTCGACGTGCCATTATAACATGAACAGTACTTACCTGAAATAATACAGTACATTGTCATTAATAGCTCGGTAAGTATCGATTATAACGACGCACGCGGAACTTAATGGGATATGAAACACAGCTTTCGTAAGCTTTAATGGGGGTTCCTGAGCATTGTTGTAAAGCATACGCATTTATATTATTTCAAGTTTATGACAACATCAGCAACAAAATTCGTGTATGAGGTCAATTCAGAGACTTTAACCATCCTTCTGGCAATTAAATGAAATTTGAAAAGCCATTTGACAGCTGATTAGTTAATATCTACGATGATCAGTGTTTCAGAATCCGGGCGTTGCCGACTGCTTTAAAAAAAGTTAAACCTGATAGTAGTATAACTAAAAACGACACAAGAAAGGGTTTTGAAGGAATAGAAGGAATAAACACATATTTTTATTTATACTTTTGTAAAATCCAAAATGTATTTTTTTTATAAATTCCTTATTTATAATTTATTAATATTAATAATTTGTAATTTTTACACCCCTTGCTGCACCTTCCGTAAACTTTCACTACATGTTGGGTAACTGACTGGTAGAGAATGCCTTTGGGCATTAAGTCCGCCCTTTGTTACCTTTTTTTTAAGGTTAGCAATAAATAATAAATAAATAAAAGAACCTAGATCGGCATAAATATATAGATACTTAGGTATATCCTATCCGTCTCACTACGCGATACAAAAGTTTCTTATCTAACCTGAATTTTTTCGCTTTCATGTAAATATAGACATATCAAAGAAGTATCTAAAATTCTCACAAATCATTTGCACTGAAGCAAATACTGCACTATTCTACATCTTTTTTCTATTTCAATCTAATTTTATTTATTGTCTAACGTTTACTTTTCATTTTGATCGATGTTACGTACTTTCCAGCATTTAATTATTACGTTTGTCAAATAGGTGATGAATTGGAAAAAATGGGTTTGATTTAGTTTAACTTACTGTGGTAGGGCCACGAGGTTGTGGCACGAATGGGCAGGCTCGTCTGGGGAAGTGCTCACGGCTTCGCAAGAGACCGTCAAGTGGAAGTCTTATACTTTCGCGTTTCGTCTGCTGAGTGAGGTAAGGTTTTGTACATGTTCATGGGCGGCGTTATTCACTTAACATCAGGTGGCCACCGTTTGCTCACTTTCGTGCGAGGATGGGAGCTCGAGCGTCGCCAAGATCGCGAATCCGACTTCGGCCCTCGAGCGAGTAATACTAATGTCACAATTCGCGGGTTGCGCACCGCGGTTTTGTGATTCGAGAGAAATTATGTCGCCGCATCCGCGTTTCCAAATTTATACTCGTTTTATTTTTTTTTTTTGTTTAAAAGCATTAACCACAATATGGGATAAGATAATCACGTTCTACAAAGATGAAGAGATATGGGCAAAACACCTGCAGGTCATACAAATAGTTATCACGGGTGGACCAACCCAGGATCTGCTGCGTCCAAGTCTATCGGTTAGCAAATGCGCTAACCGAGTCATCGAAACTCGTCATCGTCGTTAAAATCATCAATAATCGAATCGCATGAAATTATTCAGAAATAATTGAAACACGTATGTATCCTTTAGTTCCACTTAAAATAATATTGAAAAATAAAAAATATTCAACATATACGTCTGATTACTATCACCACGATACAAATCGAACATTGATAACGCACAGGACATGAGGAACTTGAAGCCGTTGTACAAATATAGAGCGCCTTTTTGTGCACTACTAAAAAGAAACGTGAAACTAAATTTTCAGTACGCATATTTCAACGGAAATAAAAAAATAGAGGAAACTATGACCGGGTCAGTATGTATGATTCACGTTGGAACCGCGACATATTTGACGGAGGCAATCTCGTAATCGATTGTGTGCAATATGGCACAAACGAGACAACTACGCATGACTCTAACGGTGTTTCGTCCACGCAGTGTTTTGACATGAATAGCTCGTTGTGGACAAAGAAAATAAACGACCCCTTTTTCGTAGATAAGCCATACAGCTGGCCGCAATTCGTCCGTTGGAAATCGAATCAAGGAGATGACGACACCGTTTACATACCTAAAAGAGCAAAGAGGGAATTAATCATTGTTAAATCAGGGATTTATTGAAAGAACGATTTGACTGGGGGAGTAGGTGCTTAATGCCATAAGTTATTAAGAACGCCCTTTGTAATCCTTGTTTAAGGCAAGTGCAATACAGTATTAATAAATTAAAAAAGTAGATCCATTATTGAAGTGTGTAAGTTATTTAATCTAGAAGTAAGTGAACAGTGTTAGGTTAACTCCGAAATATCAGATGAAATACTATTAAACAGTGAAGTGAGCGGCATTTAGGATATTTATTCACTCACAGATCTGCCATCGTCATATTTCTCAGGTGCAACAAAAAATGCACGCAGGTCTAAAAATAAATACAGTCCAAACAATCAAACTTGCGAGAATTCTTCTCTTTGTTATTATATATGCTGACCGCTACACGACAAAGCGACACAATAAAATATGAAGCGCCTGTATAAGTTCTATTGTACGTATGAGACCACAGTATTTCAAACATGCGCAGTGTATCGTTCTTCTGCGGCATTGTCGAAATACATTTGAATATAAAATTTAATACACTATGTTATAAAGAAGATTCTATCAGCTGTGACCAATGACTTCAATTGAATGGTTGCGAAATTTGTTTGTAAATCGTTTTAGCATGACTGAGAATTGAAATTGTCTATCAATGTTGTGTATACCTGTAATAGGCATATATATAAAAAAATTGGTCCTATAGCAAAGAACATATAAATAATATTATATTTTATGCTGTTGGTGTACCTAACAATAAATAAATAAATAAATTACAAAATCAAGACCGCCTTCTATTAGAATTAACCAAAGCCGATAACACAATGAAACACAATTTTTTTTTGCTGAATTTTTAAATGTTATGTTGCGGAATATAAAATAAACACCAGTACAAATCCAGCACTTGACATAAGTCGAGAATAAAGCATACAAGCTGAAATTACGAAATCAATCAGTTTCCACGGATTGTACGACACTACAAAACGATGTCGGTACCAACAAATTAGACAGCTGAAGCCAACCGGAGTTAAGAGAAACATATTAAATACATATTAATCGACACTGTCAAATTGGAAATCAAAACTCGTATGAAGGTGTTATCAGTTATCATAAGGAGTTTAATTTCCATTGTTACAATTACTTTATTTTTAATACTTTTAATCATAATTGGGCTTACAATTATAAAAATGGTAAAAATATTTATAATGAGGGACTGAGTTCAGTTGATTATAACAAAAGACGTGCTGGCGTTTTTATCAGCGTGTTCTCTCCGTTTTCACTAGCTCGCGAGTACATTAACATCGTAACGAGATGAAAGCTTCGTTATTAGACGTATGATCCGTATGACTAATGAAGCTTTCTTCTCTCATTACCCAAGAGCGAAGGGGAAAGACATCATCCCATAGAGACTCCGGACTTAGTCGCGTGCGCACACGGAACCGTTCCCCCATCAGACCACTCTCGCTCTCGCCGATGCGCCCGCGTTGGTTCATCGCGAGTTATGACGGTCGTTACGGGTGAAGGAGAGGAGCGGGGGGACCCCCTGTCGATTATTACCCATAGCGGGCCAGGTGAAAGTAACACCGGAGGGTTATGGGCGGCAACGCGCCTTACGTAAGGCAAGCGTAACGCGAACGTCCGGCTATTGAATACGATCATTACCTCTCAATCGGTGATGATTTACGATCGGTACCTTCGCCTCGCTTCTCGGGATGGACAGCGATAGAGTTTGCGCCTAAAAATGACTTCCGACCATTTAATAATGATCTACATTACATAACGAATATTATCGCTTCGGTTTCCCGTCACAGAAATGAATTTTCTATATTTTATTATTTCACTTATATTTTCATCGAAAACAACACCCTATTTTACACAAAAGTAAATATTGCAGGATTTCCAATGCTTTTTAAACTTTTTGTTTTAAACTTTTGTTTATACATATAAATTCGCACAATTAATTTATTAAATACTGTACCTATTACTTCATTTATCGTCATATATCGTGAATAAGGCCGTGGTACTTCCCCGGACGGGCCTGCCCATTCGTGAGTGTGTGTGGTACAGTATAAAAAATACACACAGTCAAAAACTGTCATGATATAATAGAATTAATAACGTTGCGTCTAATCCGGTGATTGGGACTTGAGCCTAGTACTCTCAGTGGTTGCCAAAATGCCAACAAGCCTGCACATCCCTGGTGCTGTGATTGACCGCGGGCGGTGGTCCTAACTTACCCTCAGATGAACCAATCACTCATTAATCATCGATCCCATCCTCCTCTTTCTCCTGCCCTTTTATCACGTAAGGTGGGGTCGACACGACATGTTACATGCTGTTTACGGTATTTTTAATAAATAAAAATAATAAATATGACAGGACACATTTTTACACAACGTTTTCTATGCTCAAGATAAGCTACGCTTGTACTATGAGTGCTAGATACCTGATACAACATGCTTAAACATACTTTTATTTTGTAAATAAATACAGTTCATACACATATTTAATAATACTTATCTTTAACACCCAGTCACTTGAACGATTCCTGTGTGGGAATCGTACTAACAACCTCTGCGTCGTAATCAATAGTTTATTTAGTAAATGCGCCACCAAGTCATTGCTAAGTCATAATCATCGATATACCAAAAAAAATCAAATCGCATAAATTTTAATTTCTGCGTAGTATTTTTTGTAAACCGCTTTTAGTGTGACATGTACGATTCTTTGGCCGATTTATTGAGAAAAATAATATTTATACGTGTAGAAAATTTATTATAGCAGAAGGGACATTTTAAATGTAGTTATTCATTCCGCTGCTTTTATTTTTTCAAAAAAACACTTTTTTCAAAGAAACAAGACAAAACAGGTAACAAAGAGTTATCGATGACACTGAAAAAAAATGTTGGGGAGATGTTCAAAATCCAAGTTGGTTCCAAAACACAGACAATGTGGGCAGAACTAATGGACGACCTACTAATTGACTATATTGGGCACACAAATATTTAGCTTCTTTGTCACTGCGAGAAGATCGAGGCAATCGCCATCATGGTTTTTGTGGCATTTCTGTGCTTCGGTAATAAGTTCGTGGAGCTCGGAAGCTTTACCATCAACACATCTCGTCGGAATAAATAAAGAACCGCCGCCTTTCTCTAGCACTCGTTTTATTCGATTCTTTTGGCAAATTCCCAAAAAGATGCACTTAAGCTTCTTTTTTTCCGTACTAGATCCGCTATCAGGGAGGCAGCTTTTACGACCTTTCGCAACAGCGAAGATATTCCGCGTAAACTCCTGGCAGGAGTCCACGAGACGATTGATATTCCATCTGGCGAAAGGGTCAGTAACCCATGCGGATTTACAAGATTTTGGGGTATAATAACAGGTAAATGTTCTGAATGCATTCATTGTTTCCTCGTGTGCACGAAACGCTTGATTTCACATTAGCAACATTGGTAGAATTTAATTGTACTCAAAATCAAAATCAAAATCAAATGTTGTTCTTTATTCAACATAGGAGCATTACACTAACTTATTGATAGTCAAAACACTACCACCGGTTCGGAAAAGAAAGCCACTGTACTGAGAAAAACCGGCGAAGAAACTCAGCGGGCTTTTTTTTTTTTTAAATCTTAAATCTTAACTAAATTTTAAATTAAAATATGTAGAAAAAGTACGAAAAGATTGTCGCCGCTGTGGGAATCTAATCTAGCTTCAAATGCTAAGAAAACAATGTAGAAGAATACGTTAAGATTTTCGTCGGTGTGGCAATCAGCCGTTTAGCTCAGTGGCTAGAGCGCCAGGCCGCGAATGCCGAAGACGTGGGTTCGATTCCCACAGCGGCGACAATCTTTTCGTACTTTTTCTACATATTTTAATGTTCAATCTTAAGTGCAAAGATTAGCACTATAAAAAATTTAAATTTCTAAATTTTAAATCTTTAAAAATATTAAAATTCAGTTAAGATTTAAGATTTAAAAAAAAATTAGTAAGAACCAATGTTGCTATTAAATCATTTAGACCATACCAGCTGGTGATAATAGAGTGTCTAGTTTAATGTGGTAAATAAAGACTCTACATTTTAATTGGACGCGAAAACTGATGATGGCAAATTTACGAAACAAAACTAACAAGATTATATGTTGGTATATAGACGAATATTGGTGTATATATCTTCTCTACAATAAGGGTTCTTCGCTATCTAACCTATCAACTCCGACGTCAACATAATCCACATTTAGTATACCTCTAACAGATATTAACATTTTTGATCACTTTTTTGTATATGTATTCATGAAAATACTATACAATAAAAGACGCTGCGAATAGCCATATCCTCGTAATAATTTGTTACGTAAACATCTCAAATGTCAACTACGAGTGTGACGCGCGTAACTGTTTGTTCAGAGTGAAAGTATTGAGTACACTTTTAGCGTAATGGACAACACGATGTTGCTGTTTGGTAAACATGTCAAATATTTGTCAAACATTCGACTAGGAAACAATTACAAGCTATACAAATAAATGCGGTGTCAGAAAATAGCGTTCGAAACTTTATCGAATAGAGAGAGTAGTCAACGAAAAGTAATCGAGTGCAAAGGTCAACCAAACAGCAAAGTAACAACGCGGAACAGAAGATGTGAACGTAAACAAGTTTGCTTCAGCACTTATCAATGCATAGAAGTGCAAATACTTTGGCAAAAGCGAAATGAGCGCGAAATACAAAAATGACTACACAGTCGAAACTTGTTAAAACGCGTCGTTGGCACCTCACTTACCACAATTATCGCCTCGCACTTTCCATTTTTCTTTCCTCGCGATTCGATTAGAGCGCGGGTGTTTTGAAATTTCATACTTGTGTACGTACGTTACTCTGAATCCCCGTCTTAAATTGTAATTAGTGATAACTTGGAATTATAAATTCAGAACCACTTTGACACCTGTTGCCATCAGAAATTACTATTTTAAAATTATACACATAAACGATTAATTATTTATGGGAGTACTTTCAGTTTCTTATCAATGTTAAAAGTCTTTAATGATCAAGGCACAAATAAGAAAAGGATTGTTTAAACTTATTTCTTACTCTTGTAGGGAACGGAAGAGAAAATAGGTAGAGTACAGTAAAGAGGTTATGCAATGTTTTGTGGTTTTACGAAGGTTTCTTTAACTTGTGTTCTTGTATCTTGTATTAACTGATGTTTTTGCTTTCAGTCCCGAGACTATTAAAGCTTCATCTGACGCAGAACCGATGGGCTAGCCAGAACCCACAGGTTTGGGCCCTCCGCTGTGGTTAGGGCCACGCATGTGCTCATGCGTGCGTTTAACTATGGTGTGTCATCTAAGGGCCATCGAGGTCGTGGTTCGGACCGAAACCCCGATGGCCGTCGACTGTGCAATTAGCTAATCGGTGGCTGGGGGCGGTGAGAACCGCCCCGGAACGCGGGTGTACCTTGTGTACGCGTTGTGTTGGTCTCGCCTTGCTCGGAGGCGAGGGCGAACTAGTGTGTTTGTTGTTGCACTAACTGTGGGTGTAGTGTTGTCCGGCGGGACCCCCGGCAGTGGGTCCGGCGTGTCTAAGTCCCCTTCCTCGACCGGGTCGATTAGGACGTTTCGCGGGCGACGCTTGTTGACGTTCGCGTTTTTGTCGGGTTGGTAATTTGCTGCGCTTACCACCAGAGGGTTGGGATGATGTTCGGCTCTATCGAAGAACCGTTTGGTCAGGTCTTTAAAATATTCGCGAATCGTCGGGAGTCTGCAATCGCTGTGCAGGTCGACGTTGCGTTGATACCACTGCGCACCGGTTGCGCGGCGGATGAACTTCATCACTTTCTGCATTGACGAGGGCCATTATAAAGATGTGACGGGTAAGTACTTCGTGTGAAGTGAATCGCCACACTCTTTTCGAGATTTATTTCTATTCTCCATTTGCGGAACCAATCGCCGAGGCGGTCGGCAGCGCTTTGGATTCGAGTGGTTAGTTGTCTAAGGTTGCGGTCTGAATAAAAGAGCGCCGTGTCATCCGCGAAAAGCGCGAGATTGACGTGGGGGTCTTTAGGTATATCGCTCGTGTAGAGCGTAAAAAGCAAAGGTGAGAGGCAGGAGCCTTGTGGTACGCCGGCGGTGAGGCGGCGGCTTGTGGAGAGGGTGCTTTCAACTCGATATCGAAAAGAGCGGTTCGACAGGAAGGCCTGGATGGTGTGTACGAGCCTATCTGGCACTTTGAGTGTGTACAGCTTGTAAAGCAAGCCGTTGTGCCAGACCTTGTCGAATGCTTTTGCGACATCGAAGAAAAGAGCCCCTCTACTAATATGTTTAGGGAGATTTAGGCCTTTTAGGATATGTTCCGTTAGGCGGAATAGTTGATCGGGACAGAAATGTCTAGCTCGAAAGCCGAATTGTTCCGCCGGCAGAAGGCCGTTGGAACACACGTGCTCATTGAGCCTGTTTAATAAAAGCCGCTCGTAGAGCTTCCCCAGGCAACTGAGGATGCTGA